TAGAGATCCACTAATCTAAGAGGATTGGGTAATTGGATGCAAATCTAATAACCCAATAAGGGAGGATCCATTAGGGTTTGATAGGGGACCTCTATAAATAGAAAGGATTCAGTGGTTCATAGGCTAGAGCCTTTGCTTGCCTCTCCTATTCTCCTCCCCCTCTCCATCTCAAAGTAGGCCTGGAGTTTTGAGGAGCGTCGTCGCAGTCCTACTGTGTGGATCACCGCTAGAGACGAGAACACTTGACCTCCTTCACCCTCTCCCAGAGATCTGCAAGGAAACGAGGATATACGATCTCCCTAGGTAACACAATCTATTCTATACGTAGTTTGTTTCGTGGTTTTTGCGCACCAATCTTCGCATGATGACGAACACCTCTATGGGAATAGAAGATTTTATTTTTTATTCTTCAACTACGCATGTGATGTCGCCTCCAAGATTTTCCAACAGTATAAACTATAATATACATCAAACTGTCTACTACAGATGAGTAAGGCACTCTGGACATTTATTCTTTTCCTTTCTCACTTGTAGGACATTGTTTCGAACTAAACTTGAAATGACCTACAAGTGGAGAATAAACTACTTTGGCTTTACTCATGTTAAATCTTTCAAGAATCTTTTCAATGTAAGTCTCCTGAGATAGCCAAATCTTCATTTTCTTCCTATCATGAAGAATCTTCATACCAAGTATTTGTTTCACCGATCCCAAGTCTTTCGTGGCAAAAGACTTACTTAGCTCTTTTTTAAGTTTTTTAATTTTACCGGCATCGTGGCCAACAATCAACATATCATCAACATATAGCAAGAGAATAATGAAATCATCATCTGAAAATTTTTTCATAAATACATAATGATCAGATGTGGTTCTATTGTATCCTTGGCTCATTATAAAGGAATCAAGCTTCTTATACTGTCTAGGTGCTTATTTGAGTCTCTATAAGCTTTTCCTAAGCTTGCACACCAGATTTTATTTTCTCTTGACTTTGAAACCTTCTGGTTGCTCCTTGTAAATTTCTTATTCTAAGTCACCATAAAGAAATATTGTTTTCACATCAAGTTGTTTAACTTCTAAATTCAAGCGAGTAGCCAAACCAAGAACAACTCGGATATATGATATTTTCACCACAAGAGAAAATATTTCTTCAAAGTCAATACGTTTCTTATGACTGAATCATTTCATAACTAGTCGTGCCTTATATCTTTGTTATGAGCTATTATTTTCAGTCTTCAATTTGTAAACTCATTTATTTTTTAGAGCTTTATTCTCTTTAAACAACTTTATCAAGTCATAGGTGTGGTTCTCAAGCAAGGATCTAATTTCTTCTAGCATTTCTTTAACCCACTCATTCTTATTCTCATGTATAATAGCTTCTTGGTACGTTTCTAGCTCTCCCCCGTTAGTAAGCATAACATACTCATGTAGAGGATATCTGGTAGATGGTTATCGCTCTCTTATGGATCTTCTCAATGGAATCTCAGTTGGTGGTGGAAGTGCTTGTTCAGCTGGTTCAACATCATCTACTATAGGAGTATCATCACTAGCATTCACACCACAATCTTCTTGTTTATCTCCCTCGTTATTATCATGAACTACAAGTGAAGGAACTGGACCCAAACTCCAAGAAATATAAACAGAGATTTTTGGCTTCTCATCATTATCACCATCATCAAATAATTGGTCTTCAAGAAATACAACATCTCTACTTCTAATAATCTTCTTGTTCACTTGATCTCATAATCTGTACCCAAACTCTTCATGACCATATCCCAAGAAGATACATACTTTTGCCTTATTATCAAGCTTGGACCTCTCATCTTTGGGAATATGAACAAATGCTTTACACCCAAAGACTCTCAATTGATTATAAGATATATCTTTTCCTTTCCATACTCTCTCTGGAACATCACCTTTCAAAGGAACTGATGGAGAAAGATTTATCAGGTCAACTATAGTTCTTATAGCTTCTCCCCAAAATGACTTAGGTAACTTGGCATGAGAAAGCATACAGTTAATCCTTTCTTCAATGGTTCTGTTCATCCTTTCTGCCACACCGTTCTACTGAGAAGTTTTAGGAACTGTTTTCTCAAGCTTGATGTCCTGGAACCTGCTATAATTCTCAAAAAGACCCTTATACTCACCACCATTATTTACTCAAATATACTTTAGCTTTATGTCAGTTTCTCTTTCAACACTAACATGAAATTCTTTGAAAACATCGAGTACTTGGTCTTTAGATTTCAAAGCAAAAACTCACACTTTTTTAGAATTATCATTAATAAAAGTAACAAAATAAAGAGCACCTCCAAGAGTTTTAGTTTGCATAGTACAGACATCAATATGAATCAAATCAACAACATCTGATTTTCTAGATGATGGATATGTATGAAAGGTAACTTATGTGTTTTTCCAACTAAGCAATGATTATAAGATTTAAGAGATGTACCTTATAACTTAGGTAAGAACTAATTTCTAGTAAGAGTTTGAAGTCCCTTCTCACTTATATGTCTAAGTCTCTTATATTAAAGATCTATACTTTCACCCTTTTGAATTGCATTAATCTCTTCTTTGTGTAGCTTAGCTTCCATGATATAAAAAGAGTTAAGCTTCTTTCCTCTCACTGCAATTAGAGAACCTTTAGTGAGTTTCCATTTGCTTTTACCAAAATAGTGTATAAATCCCTCATCATCAAGTCTATCTATAGATATCAAGGTAAGACGAATATCTAGAACATGTCTGACATCTTTAAGTATCAATTTACTCCCAATATTGGTCTCTAAGCAAATATCTCCAATACCCACAATCTTAAATGTACCACTATTTCCCATTCTGACAATACCAAAATCACCAATAGTGTAAGATCTGAAGAAATTACCATGAGAAGTAATATGAAATGAAGCGCCAGAATCAATTACCCAGTTACTATCTTGAGCTGTAAGACTGACACAATCGTCATCACAAATAATAATGATATCACCTTCAACAACAACTATATTGGTCTCTTTCTCATTTTTCTTCCTTTTATTTTGTTCTCACTTTCAAAACCTACACTCTTTCTTCATGTGACCTGACCTATTACAGTGAAAACATTTGATATCTCTTCTAGACTTAGGTTTTCCTCCATAACCATATAGATTTCTACTGTGACTTCTTTCACGTTTTTCTTGTTTTTCAGTAACAAATGCACTAAAAGAAGATTCTCCATATTCTTTCTTTCTGGCATCTTCATTTAGTTAAAAGTCTTTAACCATATCTATAGTTAGAGTCCCCTCTAGCATGGAGTTACAAATTATCACCATATACATTTTCCAACTTTCTGGTAAAGAGCTGAGAAGTAATAATCCTTGTATCTCATTATCTACATTCATTTTCATAGCAACCAGCTTATTTACAAGACTCTAAAATAGGCTTGTGTGCTCAACAATGTTGTCACTATCTTTATACTTTAAATTTACAAGCCTTCTGAGGAGAGAAATTTTATTTCCCACTGTCTTTTTCGCAAAGAGGTTTTCTAACCTTTGCCAAACAATATCAACTCTGGTTTCATCAGAAATATGCTAATATAAATTTATATCCATCCATCTTTTAATATAAGCAATAGCTTTTCTATGTTGAACTTCTCATTCTTCATCATCCATAGTAGAAGTTTATCTTTAATCTTGATGAGCTTATATAAATCTTTGCAATAGAGCAAATCTTCCATCATACATCTCCAAGTGGAATAATTTGATGAGTTCAATTTAATCATACCTTCTAACTCCTTCGTTTCAATCACACAAGAAAAAAAACTAGCACCAAGCAACCTGTAAGCTCTGATACCACTTGTTGGGAAAAAAACATGTTATAGCGAAAAAATTATTTTTCTCCCTTTGTGTATCAAAATGAGTTCCTCATCAAAATACCAATATCAAAAGCACATATTAACCAAAACAACATAAACAACAGAACAATGAATCAATCACAAAGTGAGACACCGAATTTTATATGGAAAACCCAATGCGGGAAAAATCACGGGATCGTAGTCCACCTCAAATTTTCATTATCACTAGTAATGATAACAAGTTTACAATAAATTTTCTCTAAAATAACAAGAGGATCATAATAACATCAAGACCATATATCTTGGCTAAATAATAGCATATCATCATCATATTGATGGATCTCATTAAGTGAATATAATAGAAAAGTACTCAAAAAAGATAAACTTCATATCAGCACTGTTAGGATTGTAGAGCTTACCGTAAGGATTTTTCACATATAATTTGGGTTAAAACCGACAACGTTTGACCAGATCGTCGAACAGAAAAACTCAAAATCATATTTTTCTCTCTCGATTCTTTTCTCTCCCTATGGGTCGCTATAGTATGCTGCATGCCAATCCCTTCTCTGCCCTCAACCGTAAGTATTTGTTCATTTTTTTTCTTTTTAATTATTGATTTGGGCTTAAAGATTCAATTGTCGTGTCCAAGCCCATATATAGGCTGGATCCAACACTTTGAAACCTAATTTTTGTCGTTATTCTTTATAGGATATGTTAGTTGATTGTGGTTGATCTAAGTTAGATATGTAAGACAGTAACCTTAATTTACAGTGTTAAAAACAAAAGGAAGGATGATGTTCTTTGTTTCTAAGACCCAAATAATTATGAAAAAAAAAATCATATGAGTGATAAGAGGATGAGATGAAGATCTTTCTAGAATCAAATAGTATTATTAATTCAGTTTTAACTACATAAAATATATATTGATGGATTTTTTGAAATCAGATATTGGACCGTTTCAAATTGTGTAGAGTGAAATCTTTAAGCCAATAGCTTGGTTTCTACGATAGGAAAAGACTCGCTAACGAGAAGGTTCCTAACATTAGTTCCCTGCAGTGCAGTCGACAGAGACAGGAAGTTATTTAAATGTTAGAATACTTTTTAATGTATTTTTTTAATATTAATATATGAGTTTTTTTCAGAAATTATTGCAAAAAGTAATGATGCAAATACTTATTGAGTACGAGAATACAGAAGAAACAAACAAAGAAAGAAAGTCGAGTTCTTAACGGGATATGTGAAGACTGCCGACGCTCTCCACACGATAATGCAAGTCTGGTTTATGCACCAGCTTGCTTCAAACAGTCCAATTCCTGGATGAACACCTTCTTGAACCGCGGCATGTTCTCGGGTTCCATCGTCATTATCAACGTGATCCCCCCATCGCCTTCTGGACTGCGCAATATGTACAGCATTCCCTTGAGGTTCACAAACGCGCGCGCCAAGAACGCCGGTTTCCCCCACCCAAAGTCCGCCTCGTACATCGGCAGCCGCAGCCAGCTGACGACCCAGAGGTCGGTCTGTGATTCCTGCCATGAACCCAAATCCACGTCCCTGATATCCTTCATCAACTCCAGCAAGTCGATGATAGACCGGATGTACTCGTCGTCCACGCGGACAACTGCGTCGTGCATTTGTTCGACGGTCCGCTGCAGGGGACTGGATACGATCTCCCCGGTTGCAACGGCCACAGACGTCCGGACGATGGCATTGCCGAAATAGCCAGGGGGAAGCGACGGCTTCAGGCGTAGACGCACGTCAACGGGCAAGTATAGCCGGGTCTCCTGATCTGCTTGCAGTTGGCGCGCCTTACATGCGCACCGCCACACGTACGCCGTGACTGCTTCGAAGGTGGAAATGCGTCGCCCGCTGCCTAATTCTATGCTGGTCTTGAGGGAAGTGAGCTGGTCTTTGGATAACTTGAGCTTGGCAGCCATGGTGGTGGAGAGCTGACGCCTTGGGTTGCAGCACTGGTACTCAAAGTGCTCCAAGGGGACGGTCGGAGGGGACCTAGCGCGGAGGAGGGTGCGGTCATGGGATACCACCACGGTGCCCTCAGCTCCTCGGGCTATGTCGGACCATGTGTTGATGAAATGGAGCGCGCTGACGCCATCCATGACGCCGTGGTGCGTGGCGATGCCCAAGCACACTCCACCGCACTCGAAGAACGTCACCTACACACACATGCATGCACACTCCAGTAGTGTAGGAATGAAGACCAATGTGCAGTGGAAACAACTGACCTGAAACATGATGCACATGTGATCATTGCCATCGGACGAGGGCACGAAAAGCTGCCTCATTTCTTTCGACGGCGTGAAGTCGCTGAGGACATCCAAGGTGCAGGTCGAGCGAGCCACTACGAAGAGGACACCCTCGCCGGTGCACTGGATCTCAAGCCGGCCGTCTTCACCGACGGCGACCCGGCCCGCCAAGGGGTAGAAATGGAGCAGGGCCTTGGCCAAGGCCGCTTTCAGGATCTCCACAGAGAAGAAGTCGGGGTCACCGTTGTGTGGAAATAGGGTGATGGTTGGCGTGTGACTTCTCGGGGCGAGTAACAAATCCAGATTAGAGAGCCAGATACTGTGCTTCCGGGTGTCTTCGCTGGGAACGACAAAGCTCGACTCCACTATCTCTACCTCCATTACTCTCTCTCTCTCTCTCTCTCTCTC